ACTGTAGGGGCGCCTGGGTGGCTCACTCAGTTAAGCGGCCGACTTCAGCTCAGGTCACAATCTCGCGATCTATGGGTTCGAGTCCCACATGGGGCTCTGCGCTGACGCCCAGAGCCTGGAGCCTGCTTCAGATTCTGTGTCTCCCTCTCTCTCTGTCCCTCCCCCACTTGCACTCTCTCAAAAATGAATAAACGTTAAAAAATAAAAAAAATTAAAAAAAAGACTTTGAGAACTGTTTGCAATTCTGTGGTATTTGATTATTTTAAGTTCAAATATTCATTTCCTTTTTAACAGTACTATGGAAAGGACAGTCACCAAAAAAAATCACAAGTTTTCCAAACAACTGGTTTATGAATTTTATTGTTCCTTCATTCTGCCTTTATAGCCTGATAGTTCTGAAATTACATGCAATTTTCTAGTGTATGTGAAATGGTATGTCATATTTTCATTGATTACCTCATGTTATCTTTTTCTTAAAACAGTTCTTAAGATACTTAAGATATTCTGGAACTCACTTTTCCCCTAAGAAAGATAGCTTCTCCTCATAATTATTCTAAATTAGTGAATTATAATAAAGAACAGACCTGAAGCACTGATCCATAGCACCATTTACTAAATTAAAACAGGCAACCTTTTTTTTCCCTTTACAAAACTGTATTAAGTAAACTCAACAAGTCCATTTGTCTCCATTTTAATCCTGCAGCAGATCAGTACTGTGATTACAAGCTCACCAACCTATCCAACATACAGAATAAATTATTATCCTGGTATTGTTTTTGGCTAAATAACCACTCAAGAAAATGAGTGATTACTAGAAAACCATTAGTAAGGAAAACACTGTAATATTTTAAATAGCCAACGTAATACTTACTAATGTGTCAATTATTTATTATTTATTAGCGTTGGTAACACTAATTTCTCTGTACTGAGAGTAAAAATGGGTTAGTTTGTGTAGTGCAGATGACTTTTGAACTGATCGTGACAAAAGCCTCATATCCTCAAAGTTATTCAGAATTTTTAGTTCCACTTAGACAAACAGCTGATAAGAGTACTGAATCAAATTAATTGTTTCTATTTTCCAAGTCCTTTTGTAAATCAATCCTGATCACAGCCAACCTCCCCTCCTTCCAATGCCTATACTCTCATATAATAAGGCTTACTACTAAGAATTTTATCATGAAAATTCAATGTCCATTCCACTCTCCAGAATCTGATTCATATAAATAGCTAAACTCCCCCTTCTTCTGTATGTACTGTCAGATTTTTTTGAAACTCAAAGTCTAATACTCTAATCCTACATGACAAAAATTTGAAGACAGCTATCTAGTTCCTCTGCCACCCTTTCCTCAACTTAGAAATACTGCTTTCAACTGTTTCACGCTATAGGTACACTTCCCAGATATTTTGCCTCCTGAATATTCTCCTCTTGAAGGCATTCCTGTCTGCAGGATCTTAAAGTGTGACACTCAAAACTGAACATAATGCTAGCATAATATAAATGGATATGATAAGAATGGCACACAGTAGGTTAAAGTTCAGCTAATGTACCCTAAGAATTTGGCTTTTAGATTCTAAACAGTCATAACATACTATCAATACATTCAACTAAAATCCTATTAAACCAGGCCTTATTCATTATAAAAGTAACTATTTAAAAAGACTTTAAATAGAGGGGTGCCTGGGTGGCTCAGTCAGTTAAGCACCCAACTCTTGATTTCGGCTCAGGTCATGACCTCGTGGTTCATGGGACTGAGCTCCACATCGGGGTCCATGCTGACAGCATGAAGCCTGCTTAGGATTCTCTCTC